TTTTATTGCAGTTGTGTAATTTCAAGATACTGGCTCTATTATTTCTCTGTTGTACATTTAGCAGCTCTGATTCTGCTGCTGCTGAGTAACTGCACAGCATTTCTTGTATATTCAACAGAACAAACTGATGAAACTGCTTCAGAGGTTACCCAGTGGTGTTGTGAGAAGGCTGCATCGTGAGCGCTACAAGAAGATGACGTGGTTAACTCCAGTGCCCGAGAGCCATAAACTTACTGACCAGGATGTTACAGACTTTGTAGAATGCATTATTCAACCTGTTCTCCTGGCTATGTTTAGTAAAACTGGAAGCCTGGAGGCTGCTCAAGCCCTGCAGAACCTTGCACTGATGCGTCCTGAATTAGTAATTCCACCTGTACTGGAGAAGTAAGTTCTGCAGAAATATTCCAAATTCCCTGTTCCCTTCCCAATGGATAAATACATAAAGCAGTTGTATTAAATGATAAGCAATTTCCTTGCTGCAGTGAATGCTTGATGGGAAAGGAGCTGCTAATACACACCCCTGAGCAACCACCTGGGTCAGGACAGGGAGTGAGGGAGGACTTTGCTTTTTCCTTTTATTTGGTTTGGGTGTTTTGAAGCACCTGGCAAATGGAATAGTTCTGGGAGCTGTTCACAGCTTGTGCAGTATGGGGTAGTCCTCAGGTGGTTTGCAGTTCTGTTAGCACTGCGAGTGGATCAGCTGAAGAACCAACAGTGTCCCCTTTATTCACGAGCCACCTTCTACTTCCTCACTAGCTTTCAGCTGGGACAAATATGGATGATCATGTTGTGCGTTTCTGTAGTAAGAAGCAAAGTTTTATGTTTCTGGTTTGTGTCAGGGTATGTTACAGTTACGGATTGTTTAAAATGACTGTCGCTGCTTCTGAACTCATAAGCACATTGCTAAAGTACATGCCCATGTGAAATACTTAGTTTGTACTATTGCTAATGCCTTGGTGCCTGAAATTCCAAGAGAAGAATGTAACTCCTTCCGGCCCCAGTGGAAAGCTTTCTTCCTAGTCCCTGTCCTTGTTCCCCTTCTGTGCAGTCATTTGTACTTTTAACACCTCATATTGTAAAAACAGTGGAGAAATGAGTTTGTCTTGAGGAGAGCAGTGGACCCCTGTGTTGAGCATGACCATTACAGTTTGTTTGGAGAGCAGACTGAATGTCTGCTCAGAGTTCAAACTGTCACTGGTATGTTTGCCTTGGCTGCAGCTCCCAGTTGTTTTTGTTGAGTACCTGTAGATCCTTTGGATGATGTAGGGCAGGGGTAGCACTGTGACTCCTGTTTGAACTGCAGGTTGTGGATAACGGTAGGAAGAGTTATGCCATTTGCTAAAAAGTAGTGTAAAAAACCCTAAAAGGTTTAAAAAAACACAGTACTTTAACAGGTTTTTATTAAAAAAGCATGGACTTTAATGTAACGTCAAGCAATATATCCCTTTAGAGGCCATCAAGGCAGGTTTTCATGCTTGCCACGAGAACCTGTCGTGGTTTAAACCACGACAGAACCTTACACTTTTAAGTCCACAGCTTGTATTAGCTTGAAGTTCAAACACTAAAATCATCGTAGCTTTGGAGCTGGGAGCCCATGCTGTTATCAATTCCTGTGCTATAACTGCTGGCAAATTCTTTAATCCTGAATTTGTTGTTAATAGGACTAATCAAATGAAAGGATCATTTTCTATTAGAACAATGTTTATTCCATTGGAAGAAGATAAGAAAAAAATTGGGAACCATTGATGAGCTTTAATTTTTCTTGCAGAAATTTTGTACCTTTTCTGTAGAAAATAACGCTTGTGATGCACTTTACCAACATTATTGTTGCTAAAATAACTACTTTTAAACTTCACAGGACATATCCTGCACTTGAGACGTTGACAGAACCTCATCAGCTCACAGCCACCTTAAGCTGTGTGATCGGGGTGGCTCGCAGCCTGGTGTCCGGGGGGAAGTGGTTTCCTGAAGGTCCAACACACATGCTACCTCTACTGATGAGAGCATTGCCTGGGGTTGATCCAAATGACTTCAGCAAATGTATGGTGAGTGTAAATCCCACCTTTTTGTAGGGTAGTTAGCCAATTAGTTCACTCTCAGAGCTATTTTGTGTTCATATGAATAAGTAACTCATGCTTCCAGAAGTTCTTAGCCTGATTTTGTTCCTGCACAGATTTATTTGTAATAAGTTAATATCACAAACCTCTAACTTCTAATAATGCGATTGGCTTGCTGGACAATGCAAAGTGAATCATTAACACCAGATTGTGATGAGCGTTGTACTGGCTTTTTGGGCAGCACTAAAAACCAAGATAAAACAGATGTTCCAAAGCTCCTAGCAAATATTCCTGGTCTTTTAAGATCAATAGGAAGACCTTTATCACTGGGTTTTCAATGAATTAGGTCCTAAAAGCCCAGATCTTCAATAGGCTTTTAATAGGCTGTTTGAACACTATAAGATGATAGGGGTTTTGTAACTTTACAGTTCAGCACAAAGTGTTACTTAGAGAAATGATGGGGTTTTGCACAGTGCTGACTGGTAAGTTTTATCTAAGAAATCAGGAATAACTGAAGTTTTGGGGTGGAAGAATTAGCCTCTGGAATTTTTTTTTTGCTGTAATGATTTGCTTTAGCTCCCATACCAAACTGCAAGAGCTTTTCAGTGTGTAGAATGCAGTAGCACTTACTAAAGAGCTGTTTGCAACTCTTAACAGATTACATTCCAGTTCATTGCAACATTTTCTACTTTGGTGCCTTTAGTAGATTGTTCATCTGTATTGCAAGAAAGAGATGATCTTTCAGAGGTAAGTGCTGTTCAGTTGTAAAACTAAAAAGCTATTAAAAACTAGTTTTTAATTGAATTTCTAGTGCTGAAACGATCTCTTCACTATGGTAACAGATTTACTAATCTCTCTTGTACATGTAAAGCCAAGTTAAACAAAAATGCAACAAGGTAGGAAGATGTGGATCATGTTTGCTTCTGGTCCGTGTGGTAGAGTGGACATCAGCATGCATATTGGCCATGTATTGTTAGCATTGCTTCTTAGTCATAGGTTGTTGTAGAGCTAATGTTAAATTCAAACAGTTTAATATCAACATAATTTGTTGATATTGTAGCATAATTTGACTCTGAGCTTGCCCTGCTTTGAGTAGGAGGTTGGACCTCATGGTCTCCAGAGGTACATTGCCATCTACATTTTCTGGGTTAATAAAAGAGCAGCTCTGTTAGCATTAGGCTTTTGAAACTTCTGGTCACCATAAAACATTAAGACAGTGAAAATAATGAAGCTACATCTGGTTGCTACAAATGGGGCAGCAGCAGTGTCCACTTTGGTAGTTGCCCTCAAATGTCTTGTCCACTGCTAGAAGACTTCTCTGGTAGCTCAGAGAACAGATAGTAGCTACACATAGCCCAGATTCTGAGCTCTCAGCCACTGCAAGAAGGTTCATTTCGTTGCCCCAGAGCTGCAGCACTCAAAAACGAAGAGGAGTTTATGTGCTGAATGTTTAATGTAAATATGCCAGCAGAGCCAAGTCTGTCACCAGAGCTGGCACTTGCTGACCTCCTGCTGGAAAGGCGGATCAGTAGTAAAGCCAAAGGTTGTATCCATGGAGGCAGACCCGTTTCACCCCAAGAGGTCACTTGGCTAGACATCAAGGCCTGGAAATTGGACAGGACAGCAGAAAGCAAGTGTAGTTGTTTTGTGTAGTATACTTGAGACTATACAAACTTCAACAGGAAGTGCACTGTAGTCTGTCACTTAAAAATGGGAAGTGTTTTTGAAGTAGTTAATATAGGAAATAAACTTATATTGTGTTTTCATAAGAAAAGCCAACCTTTTATTCTGCTTTTGTGTTGGAAAATGTAGGTGGAAAGAGAATTGTGCTCTGCAACTGCTGAGTTTGAGGACTTTGTACTGCAGTTTATGGATAGGTAAGAGGCTACGGGTAGGTGAAAGCTTGGCATGAAGAGCTTTTAACTTTCAAGTTTTGCTTACTAACATGTTTCGTACTGTGTTTGTGTAGATGTTTTGGACTTATAGAGAGCAGCACGCTAGAACAAACCAGAGAGGAGACTGAAACTGAGAAAATGACTCACCTGGAGAGTCTGGTGGAGTTAGGGCTCTCTTCTACTTTCAGTACCATCCTTACTCAGTGCTCAAAGGATATCTTTAAGGTATGTAGACCATAGGCTTTCCATCTAACTCTGAAGCTTAATTCTTCCTTCCTTCATTGTCCTGTTGTGAACTTTCATGTTTAACCAAGGAAGGGGCTGGAGGGGGGAGTTTAGGAGTTAATGTCAGTGTGCTTTGTGATCATATGTACATCTGTACAAAGCTCTGCTTTCCTTTTCTCTCCCTCTACTACCACTTCTTCAGCTGGGCAAAGAAGCTGTTCAAGGAGCTGTGTGGCTAATGGGATCAGAAAAATGATCTAGATTAAAATAACTCTGAGGGAAGGGGGTGGAGAAACGGAGTTCTTGCCTTGCAGGTTGGGTTAACCCATTTGAACCTGTTTCTGTTACATTATGTGTATATTTGGAGATGCTTTTGTGGTTTTATACATTTTGAACCATTACACTGGATACTTTTGTATGATCTTTGTCTGGAATCTTTTGGTTACTGTAAGTTTTAAGTTAATTCCTCATTGTCATTAAGTATTTAATTTGTATTTTCACTGATTGTTCATTATTGAAGCAATCAGATGCCATCTACACTGTGTATAGTTCACACACCTGCGAGGTATTGGATGGTAATAAGTGCTTTAAAACACACTGGCTACTTTGATAGTTGATAGTTAATTCCTTGTTTATTTGTTAACTAAGGGATGTCTTGCCTTTGAAATAGCATCATTTTCTATTCAGGGGAATGCAGCTTGTTCAGGGAAAATACTCTTTTCTGTGTAGTTTCTCAGAAGCATCCCAAGCTTACATTAGTCAACAGAATTTCTCTGCCCTCCTGTCTTCCCTGAGTGAACATGTGCCAGGTGTCTCCAATTTCCAGTTAAAGCACTGTGTGTCTTGTTTATAGACTCTTGCAGGAGGAGGGGAATACAGATCTTCCTGTTCTTCAGTTATTTTAAGGATGCTGTGCACTGTGGTGTATTTTCCTGTTACAGAGTGTTACTGTAACTGAGTGCTGCAATAAATAAGCAGCAAGAAAAAAAGGACGATCTGCAAACTGAAACTATTTTGACAAACCTCTTGTCACTGCTACTTCTATAGCAGCCTTTATTTTTGTACTCAGGGTAGTAGTTGTGCAATTAGACATAGGTACATGGGAGCAACCTGGTCTGGTGGAAGGTGTCCCTGCCTGTGGAAGGGGGTTGGAACTGGCTGGGCTTTAAGGTCCCTTCCAACACAAATCAGGCTGGGATTCGATGGTTCTATGATGACACTTAGGATTTTTTTCCTGAGCAGTTACTATTCACATCAATTTTAGGTCTATTCTGTAGTATTGTTAGCTTTAATTGTGATGGTAGTTACATTTTACTCACTTTTAGGCATTCTACAGAACCGCTTTTCATAGAATCATAGAATGGTTTGGGT